GTTCCCTACTTTGTAATCATTGCAATTACATCGCGCTGCACATTTGTTCGTCCTCAGTAAACGGTTAAACGTGCGTGTTCTTATCGAATGGATGAATGATTTCTCCAAATAGATCGTTACGCGAACAGTAAAGACGTAAATTGTATATTTAATTAAAACTGGATATTGTACACGCTGAAAAAAATATTAAATTTTAATAAATATTTGTTTTAATAGTTTTACCTAAATATTTACTAAATGTAAACATATATTTATTTGATACATAAATCATTAATTTGATTTAACTGGTTTTTTTACTGTAATAAATATTTATTTACTGCAAATAAATATTTACTTAGCATTATATTCAAATATAATAAAATTTAGTAAATTTCTTCAGTATAACTTACATAATTACACATACATACACATATCAGACATAAATGCGAGTAAACGGTCGTGCACTTTTCCTTATAAAAAAACAAAGGATTAAATTAAAGAATAAGATGTTCGTCAGTTTGAAACAGAGTTCGGTCGCTTAAAGCAACCAGTGTGCAATCTCTCGATTACTATAAATCTAGTCTCTTAACTGTATGAAGATAAATCGCATATCTTTCTATACGTATGGGTTGATCAGAAATGGTAAAATATGAATATCGCATCGCTAAAAAGATCTTATGGACAAGAGAAATACGTACATAAAAGAATTCCAATGTTGAATAAATAAAAATTATTATTTCTATATATATACAGAAAAATCATTTCTAAGTCTATTCTAATCAGAAAAATACAGATAGCTCTAATTATATTGAAATGAATATTTTATGCAAAAACTGTCAATTAAAGAAAAATTAAACAAAGACATAAAATATTGCGACTTAACAAATGATGTAACACCTGAGAAGCTTTTCGAAATGAGTTAATAAAATTTAAAACAACGGTGCAAATGTAAAGATATCGTACGTAATAAAAATGCACTCGGGCAGTCTCGTTGAAAAGAGTTTATGCTGCATTTTACAATCGGTCGGCGTATTTATTCGCCAAGCGAGAAGGAACGATGCTCATACGACGCTATAGCACGTCCTGATCGATTTAACGCCAAATGTCGCCGTGTTTTACACGCGGCAATAATGGTTGAAATCTATGTAGCCAATATTTCAAGCCACCCTTTCTCGCCTGCGCGTCCCCAACCTCCACACGAATGGCGTTCGTATACCAACGATACGTAGCCTTAGTTATTGGTCCGCATATGGACATCACTCGATATTTTATATTCTGCAGAGAAATAAAGGTATAAATGCAATCATGGTTGACGCTTTTCAAAAAACAAAATTAATTCCTAAAAAATTTCAATCATGAATATATTGCGTACTTCAACAAAGTTTAGAATAAACGCTTTGTCGTTGTTTTTTGGCTAACAAACATTTGTAAAAAGGATAAAGAACTGTCTACTCTCTCTCTCTTTTAGAAAAAATAATATAATCCAACATTCGTATTCAATAATTGAGGATAACTTTATAAAATATTGTATAATTATAATTTTTTATTTTGAATGTTTTGCACTTTAAGTAGTATTTAGAGATGTAAAATAATTCGTTGGGATTGATCGAATAAACGGCATTTACATGTTTTGGAGGAAAGAGAGCGATCCAAAGAGCACGCGGAAGAGTGATAGTCCCGAGGGAGGAATACGATTCCTGAAGTCCGACAAAAGAGAATCCTTCTGTAAACGACAAGTATAATTTGCGCGAGAATAGAGTGCGTCACGCAATGCGACAACTTCAAAGATTACTTTCTAACAGGTACTTGCTAGTCCATTTCTTATTATTCCCTTTTATTTAGTCGATCTTGCATGTATCGTGCTGAATATAATGTCACATCTCATTTAGACGATCCTTCCACAAATTAATAATTGTATTTAATTCAATATATTCTCAGTAATTAACATTTAATTGTAAATTCGTTGATTAAGTCAGATATCTAGAAGTAGATAATAACTTTTATATTTGTAAAAAGATCTGCGCATTACTTTCCAAATTAAAATTTCGTTACATTGCACTTGAAATTAAGTAAAAAAAAAATAAAATTTCACACAAAGAATGATACTGATAAATATGATATCAGCTTGTAAATGTAAACGAGTGATTTATCTATCGATACTATTTTTTTAGGTGTATTGTATTAATCTTACGCTTAAGGATACCCGTGTTCAGACGAAAGGGCACATCGTTGTAACACATGTGTCTTTACGAGAGTGTGTTCACGAGTCCGTAATATTTTAGGGAGCCCTCGTGGTCCTCGTTCTTTAAAAACTAGCCAGTGCATATGTCGATGTAGGCGACATAATGTTATCAAGCTGTCCAGAAAGAGCCGGCGCCGATCGCCGCCACGTAAGAACGAGGACCTCGGGGGACCACGTCCTCGCTCTCGCCCACTTCGTTCTTATTGATATACCGAATAAACACACTTGGCAGCTAGGCCAGAGCGGCTTTGCGAGGCAAATAGCTTCGGAAAAAACCCTACGTTAGGGAGGGGAAATTTCTTTCCTTCCTTAAAGTCGACACCATGCTCGACGCTGATAACAACAATTGTAATAAAAGCTATAGAGACCGCTATAAATTAGAATATATGAAGATAGGAAAAGATAAATTGCTTTGCTTGCTTCTGAAAATAAACTATTTCCGCATAATATAATAAAAGAAAAATTTATAACAATTCTATTACTGAGTTTTATCTCGCAGATAAATAACTTATGTATGCGTATTCTAGGATTCGTGTTACACTAGAATTTAATTAGACGTTGCCACGTAGTGATGTATTCGTAACGGAATCGCCTTTGGTTTAATCTGACTGAGAAATTGCTCCTTTCTTAAAGTACCGTAAGTTGTAATAAGACTGCTTCATTAAGTTTGACTTCGCAGCAAAACAAGATTTTACGATCATCTATAATATCTAAAGAATTAGTAAAAGTCACATAACAAACTTATGATTAACATCATAAGTTTTATCAATACCATTGTTTTTAATTGCTTTTGTAGGCATTTTTGTAGACGTGATTTTAAACTGTTTTTTATCATTGCATGAGTGATTTTATTGAATCAATTTTATGACAATATATGTATATTTTCGAATAAATTTTCTTTCGTATATTAATTATTAGTTATTTTACCTTCATTCGATTTTCATTAACAACGAGAAAATCACAAATTTCATAAATTTTTATTTTGCTTTCAAAAATAGCTGCATCAGTTTCATAAAAAATTATATAAAAATTTAAGATTGTAAAATAATAATAATAAATAATTTAGTTCTACTATTTTTACATTTTAAAGTAATAAAGAAAAGAAATTTAGCTTTAACATCCTTTTAAGTTGTAAAACGTATCTTATGAAGCCTGACACGCCGCCGAAACGTCATTTACCTTGTAAAATGGAATCTCATTCAGTCTCCAGTTTCACCCCCATAGCTTTTAAGTTCAAGCTTCGACCCTTATCGACCGCACCATGGACTTTGCGCACCTCGTCGAGTGCAGCGGTTATCCAGTAAATAAAGATGAATAGTTTCCCCGTCATCGCTCTCTCGCACACACACACACACACACACATAATCGCGAATATGTGTGCGCACAGCAACGAGACGATTTTAAATTCCGCGAGTCAAAGCGATGTTTGACATGGAAATGTTGAGCGATGCATTAAACATGCCGCGCCGAGTGCTTCCTTCTCCCTCCCGCAAGATCGTAATCCCCCTGTTTCTTCTAGAAAGACGAAAAGTGCTCCCTTCGACCGTTTGGGGCCTGATCGTATAACCGATGAACTTCGGGCCCTAGTACAATCGCCCTCGCATTGTCCGAGCTATGTTTATTTAGGCAAATGAAAAGAACCATCGTGGTTTCGCTAGTTCTCGGTCTTTATATTCCTTAATATAAAGAAAACGACAATTGCAATATTAAATGCTCCTATTTGGTTTGAAAACGATAATATATTGCTGCCTTCTCATCTCTACATCCTTTAAATCCTTAAATCCTTGTACAACATGTAAAAAATTTATTTAAATACATAATACTTATCATTACTATATTATCTTCCATATTTCAAAAAAAAATTATTTGATACTTTTCCATCCTTTAAATACAAATTCGCGTAATTGATCAGAAGTGTCAATAAGATAATAATACAGATGTCAACTTCAAGTTAATTTGCATACAAATAATAGTAATCATTCAGGATTTTGTCATAACTGCATAAAGATGTTTAAATAGAACAAGTTTAAATTTAAACGATATTTTATATTGCGAAACTGTTATGTCTAAACGTAATGCTATGATGTCGTATACAGTTCCAGATTGCTCGTAACTTTGTTTGAATGTGACATGTAAAGTTGTAAATCGTTCTAGTATCATTATCGTCGGCGAATTACGAGGAGCACGACAAGCGTCGCGAATTTCCGAGTCGTGATTGGTGGAGCAGTTGTCGTGGAGCACCTGCGAGGCAATTTTACTGAACCTTTCAAAAGAAACTCCTGCCATTGTCCGGCAAAATGACATCAAGCTTATTGCATTATTTAAAGAGCTTCGTTTTAGGGCTACTTTAAACCTAACCCACGATTGTCGAAACACCGCCACTGATAACACAAGTTAGATTCTCAAGGAGTACGATCAATGTAACATTACAAATATTTCGAAGGATTCTTTGATTAATCAAAATTAGTAACATTCTTTTTTCTAGTCAATCAAATATTTCAAAGCATTTGTAGCAAGACTTTGATTGCATTCATGAATGAATCATGAAGGTGCACGTTTTACGAATTCGATATTTTTTCGAGATTAACATGACGTTATATAATTAAAACGAAAACAAAAAATTGAGGGAAACGAAAAAAAATATTTTTAATGCTGCACGATCACACCCTGCATGCTTAATTAAACATTTTTGTTTTCCTATAATTCGCATTGCTCTCGCAAGACAAAATATTTCTCTATATTATTTAGTAGAAATTCGTTTCGCTGGGCTTTCACTTACCGGGTGAGATGCCAAGCTTCGCATGCATGCTACTGGGGCTTCTGTGATCGGGGGTGGTAACAGGGGCAGCTACGGGTGGCGACAGGTGGGGATGTGTCAGTGGTCCACCGCTTGTCGTCGTCGTGGTAGTCGTTGTGGCACAGGGATTTAAGGGTGATGTCCTCTTGAAAGACTGGTCTGTTCGCCACGAGACATCATTGTCGCCTATCCAGACTTTACCTACGCAAGTAAAGTTAGATATAAAAATACAATGATAGAGAAACACGAAACTTAAAATAATGATTACCGTCTTAAAATATAAATATATATAAAATGCAAAACAATGAATATTTCCTCAACATTTTTGATACTGAAATCAATACTACACACGCACACACACTGTCTTTCATAAACGAGAGAAAAGTATGCACAATCTCCCTTGCTACAGCAATATCAGCGATGGAAGATCAAATTGCAAAAGAGGCTCTCGAGATAAATTCTATGCCCCGTGCGTGTATTAATATAACGCACACCGGAACGACTATGCGTGTGCAGAAAATGGCTTCTCTCCCCCGGATAGAAACCGTCGTAATTAGCGACCCTCCGAATCCCCTATTCTTACCAGTTTTCCCAGTTTTCCCCCGTTTCCCTTAATTTCTGGGAACAATGCCTGGCTCTGGATGTTGTTCCAGGCTGCAGTGTCTAATTACACGGGGGCATACCGAGCTCTTCCTTCCCAAATTTGTAAGGGCAATGAATGGGGTGCAATCCAAGTGTTTATAAATGTGACATACGAATATTTGCCGGTGCCAGAAGATAAAATTTAATAGGATTTGCAAGAAATGTTTATTAAGTTGTCGATAAGATAAAATTCGTTTAATAACAATTAGTGCTCGCATTTAGCAACTATTAAATATAAAAATCTTTTTAAAATATTAATATGTAAATAATCAATCAAATATCATTGGAATTTTATTCATAAGAAATTTATTAAATCCACTTTTCGGATTTAAATTATATCGGCGCGTCCACACACATAAATAAATTTATTATTATGCCTCACGAATGTTATGTTGCGTGCAAAGTCTCGGGTATCCATGCCGTATCTTTTCGAGCACCCCGTAGCTGGCGGAGATCTCGGATTTATGGAACACGCGAATACCGTATCGCCCCCGCATGCGTGCGACGTGACTCAGACTCGGTATTATTTGCTTGACGAATGATTTAGCCCGTAATACTTAGCTCGCTTTTCCCCATCACCTCTCTCCCCTACTCTTCTGCTTTTTCTCGCACTCCCTCTTTCCTAACCGAATACTAACCTTTCTTCGTTCTCTCTACCTCCTAACGATAATCGGAGAAACGCGTTACTCCAGAGACAGAAATACAGTAACTAGAAGACGATAGGAGAATAGGGAGTGACGGGTGGTTCACAGCAGAATGCAGGAAAGCGGCGAAGATAGAACGAGGGTGGTAACTGGAGCCCGTGGTTTCGCGAAAGAAAGAAAGGACGTTCTTCCTATCGAGAGGAAAAAGAGAGGCGGGAAAAGCGGTGGGGCTGAAGAAAGTGTAGCCGGCGCTAACTAAGGGCGTCGGCTAATCAATATCATCAGAGAATGGCCGCTGACCTCCATCTACCCCGCTAGAACGACCATTGTCCAGTATTCCCGCTTTTCCAATGAGTCGCATGAGCGAATATAAAGAAGATTCGTTTTTCCAGAAATGATAAATTGCAAAAATATTTCGCCCAAAATGTAGTAATATCACGATATTATATTTACTACAATAATTATTACTCATATATAAAGATATCATTATTTCAAAACTTTTTCAGTAATAATTATATAGCATTTCGTAGTTAAAAAAAAAAAAGTTCAACCAACATTCTCTCTATGTCAAGATAATATCAAATTTTAATTAAATAATCCATTAGTCGTTTACTTCGAACTTTCAGAGAAAGATATTAAGAGTCGCCTCAGTGTCATTTCCACAAGGATAGCTTGCCTTAGGCTACGATTCAACCATAGTATAGAGGCTTTCTTTAATCTCGTAGTGTTTGCATGGTTCCCAGATTTTACTCAACCCCACAGAGACAATCAAAGTCAGTATACCCTAAAGGGCTAGTGAACTTGACGTAAAATTACACGCGAGTTTGTGGAAAATTCAATTATGCGAATCTGCAAAAATCGTATCGAATGTCTTTTTGCATTAAAATATAAAGAAAAACGCATCTAGATAATTCCTTGACGAAGAACAAATAGAAAATAAAAAAAAAGCACGACTAATCTCTCATCCGACTGTAGACTAATGCTTCGTTCATCGGTCTCATCTACGCGTCCCTAAAGTACCCTTCCTTTCTTTCTCGCAATAAGGGTCGTAGCTATGTCCGAACAGAAATCAGTCCGCATAAACAGAACCATCCATTCCGCGATTCGCTCCTTCTACCCCTCGTAAGCCTTGCAGAGAACCTTCCCCCTCTTCATCCTTTGCATTCTCCCTCGTCCATTCGTCCAACTCGGCGCGAACTCCATTCACGGGTTTATCACTGTCCAGATAACAACGATTTACCTACAGGCGAACTCCTACGGGTTAGGTTTCGGGAGGGTAGGAGGGTGCGTCTGGTGGGGTTGCCAGAGAAGAGGGACGAGGTGAGCTCCTTGGCAGGACCGTCGAAGAAGGCAAGACGGGCAGCCACCTTGCATTCGGGAGTATTTCACTTTAACGGCCCTCCAGGGGATTGGCTGACCCCGACCGGAGACCCTTCACCGTTTCGGCATAATGGACCTCTACATTACTTATTCGTCCTGGCCAATGTCCTGCTAGCGGCTCCGTTCTTGACTGCGGCGTCGACGGAGCCGCTCGTTTTCCACATCCTACTATTCCTGCGTACGATTAATCGCATTTCGCGCGAACAGGGATATCGAAAATTGGGAATGCCGCAATTATAGGAAACAGTTATTTATATTAGACAGAAAATTAAACGTTTAAATACAGGAATTCATCAAACTTTAAACTTTATATCACACCGATGACATAAATTAGAAAATATAAAATATTCAAAATTTTTCTGAAAAAATTATATTTCAATGTCTAAAATATTTTTATCCAATCATATATTTCCACCTCCTTTTCTAACAAAAGACGATAGAGCCACCTTTGCTGATTTCAGCTTCCGGGTACCGGCCAGTAGCACGGAAGAACAACACGCCCCGAGCAAACTGCTTTTCTCTCGAAAGAATTGAAAATTCCTGCTCGTCCAAGGGTTGAGGAGGTCGACGATGGAGAGGGCGGTGGCTGGGGAGACGAAGAAGCGGGACGAGGAAGCGAACGCGGATAAAGCGTTCGATATAAGATTAATGCTAGAGGCCGCCGACCAGTCCCGCGCACGTCGAGGACCGTTCAGCCATACATGAAGGCAATGGTGATTCCTCTTTGAAGGTAGAACCGTGGGCAGTGGCCAAATTGAATCCTGCTTAGGACAGAAGAAGCGTCGAGAGAGAACGAGAGGACGAGCGAGAGCCGGCCCCAGAGCCCTTTCTCCAATAAATAAATCGCCGACCGTCCGTAGGTCTCCGATTTTCAGCTCGAACGTACGGATTAAAATCGACCGACCGATTTGTAACGACGAACACCGAAAGTAATTGCACGATTATCTTATTTCTGTGTCCTTTGGTGTTCCTTTTTTCATAGAAAATTATTTAACAAGAATGTTTCATTCACGCTAAATATATTTCTGATCAAGATTTTATACAAGCACTCTCTTATATATATTACAAATGTAAAATATAATACAAAATAAAATTAGTTAATAAATAAAATATTAAATTCTTCCATTAAAGATACTGGCACGGTAATCTTGTTTCAATGATTAATAACTGCCATATTTTAACCTATATAACTTTCATATTATATATACATTATATATATAAAACTTTAAAGATATGGATTTAATAAAATATATTTACTCTACTTTATGCGTATCACTGATTATATTGTACGCACAAGAATAATATAAAAATATTTATCTTATTATCTCACATTCTATCTGTAATTGTTAAATATAAATTAATTAAAGAAAACAAAGTAGGATTAGAAAAACTATTCGATAAATCACTCAAGTATGCTGCGATAATGCAAAGTAGAGAAGGGTAAAGTCTAAAGAGCGTCTCGGTTCTTAAATAAAACAGGTGTGAATGACTTTTAATCGGTCATTATCGGTGATTATACGAAGCAAAATCATAATATAAATCATATAACACTAACTACCAAAATAATATCTTTCCCCGTCGATCGATTAACAGCTCTTTCATAATATTACTAATATTGTATTATCTATCAATATGATTGAACAAATCAATAAGCCATGTAAATAAAACGATAACATAAGCATATTTTCTTAAGTAGAGCTATAAAGTTATAAAATACAATACTAATAATACTTGATTGAATATTTATGTATTCAATACTAATAACAAACAATGTTATAAATTTTTACTTAGGACTACTTAATTTGTTCTTATATTTTTTTTCTATTCTTATCTATAGTAGTGTGGAAAATTTATGTTGATTTCAAAGCTAATAAAATGTCCTTATCTATATCAACACCTTACGATTATCACATTCTTCAAATACATAATACTAATAAACGATCTATAAAAATATTCTAAAAAATAAGAATCTCTGCGTCATATATTATCAACAAACTGAATAAACCATACACTGGTAGGCGTGAATTTTTTCATTTCAATCCCGTTGACGTACACTTGTGATAAAATTACGAATCAGAGTAAAGTCCAGTATGAACCAGTATTACTTAATGACATTACAGGTATACGCAACTACCACTTATAATCTCTTGAAGTTATTGACAATTATCGCAGCGAATAATATACACGGTATAAAAGAATTTCTCTTAGTATTCTTTAACGCGCAATTATTTTCCTATTCTTTCTTTTACATTTAATTATCTTTTAATTCCTTGTTTTTCCAGACTCGGTGAAAATTCGTTGCTCATGAAAGAAAAAGACAAAGGAGCAACGTTCGCGTCGAGAGTTTCCCTGTTTCTTGCTGGTTGCCCTTGTCGGAACAACGATCGATAAAGCTGACCCTCTACCCCCCTACCGTGCACTCTGGGTATCTTGACACTCGCATAAGCTTGAGTGTCCCTAAATTCACACCCTTGCTTAAGATATCGAGAGATTTACTGACTAATTCAAGATTAATATACCTTCTTAATAAAAAAC